TAGATAGAACACAAAAATTACTAACTATAAAAGAAAAAAGGGGCACCTGGGTGGCTCAGTCGTTAAGCATCTGCCTTTGACTCAGGCCATGATCCCAGCATCCTGGGATTGAGCCCCCGTATAGGGCTCCCTGCTCAGCGGGAAGCCTGCTTCTCCCTCTCCCACTCCCCTGCTTATGTTCTCTCTCTTGCTCTATCTCTCTCTGTCAAATAAAAATCTTTTAAAAATTTAAGAAAAAATAAAAGAAAAAAATTGACAAATCAGACTTAATCAAAATTTAAAACTTCAGCTCTTCAAAAGACACCATTAAGAAAATGAACAGGCAAGGTACAGGAGTAAATATGTGCAATACACGTATTTAACAGAGGACCAGGATACAGAACGTATATAAAGAATATTTACTTTTCAGTAATGTAACCCATTACCTAATTTTAAAAATCTACAAAGGATAAACTGAAATTTTACCAAAAAGCTGTAATAGCTAATAAGCACAGGAAAAGATGCTCATCATTATTCATCGGGGAAATGAAAATTAAAGCCATAAGACTCCCCTTTGCACATACTAGAATGACTAAAATTAAATACTAACACCCAAATTGGCGAGGACGTGAACCAACTGGAACTCTCATACGTTGCTGGAGGGAATGCAAACCATTACAACCAGTGTAAATACACATTTATGATGCAAACAAGAAATTCCAAGTATTTACCCAAGGAAATGAAAACATATCCACATAATGACTTGTCTACAAATATTTATAACAGTTTTATTTATAATAGCCCCAAATTGAAAACAGTAGTATAATTTCCATTAACAGGTGAATACTATATATAGAACTGTTTGTGTACAAAACTGGCAGGCAATATGGATCAATCTTAAATACTATTAATTCTCTGACATTATATCTTGTACTCACAAGGTGATTTATACTTCTTACCAAGAACCCAAAGAAATCAGATCCCAGAATTGACAATTACATCTTACAGACTGCCAGTTAGTATAGAAGTCTAAGAAAACTGATGGTTTCTTATTTTTTACTCTCCCTGGACAAATAATGTGACCCTTTTCAAGAGTATGCTCAGTATTCTTTTAAAAATAGCTTAGGGTTGGGGGATGGGGTAATTGGGTGATGGGCATTGAGGGCACGTGATGTGATGAGCACTGGGAGTTATACGCAACAGATAAATTATTGAACACTACATCTGAAACTACAGATGTACTATATGTTGGCTAATTCAATTTAAATAAAAAATTAGAGAGAAAAAAATAGAGTTTGCTACTCTTTTGCTGAACACTACATCAACACCACAAAATATTGCACAATGTTGTAACATTTGCCCAAGATCAGTTTGTCTTCTGACTTCGGGTACCTATAATGTACCTAAAGAAAATCTGTTTTCTAAGTTTTTCCCTCTTTCCTGGATATAACTGCACACTAAGAAAATGACAGTCACATCTAAGGTAGTCGTCCAACTTTAGCGTGTGGTCACTCATCCTCATTCCTTCCAACTGGCAGCCTTACAAAAGGACAGTTTTGACCCATGCTCTCAATGAGGTCTTGAGAGCTAATGTAATTGTGTCTGGGCATTTATAAATCATAATACATACCTTTTTGTTGTTATAAATTAGCTTTATTTCTTTTTCATAAAAAAATATTTTAGAAGGATTTATTTTCTATGAATTTCATTTAGGATAACAGGAAGCACCAAAAATTATTTAACAGAAAAATCAGGTCTGATAATGTTGAAAACTGTTATTCTATACCTTGAATTTTGGTCTTAATTTCCTAAGGAATCCTTTCATGATCAATTTTATTTTGGAATATAATACTGCTTGAACTAAAGAAACACTAGAGCTTAATATACTCTAGAATTCTAAAACTATGCCAAGTTGGGCTCTCTGGAGGGATAGGCCTAGAAATCTAATTTTTTTTTTTAAAGATTTTATTTAGGGGCACCTGGGTGGCTCAGTTAGTTAAGCATCTGCCTTTGGCTCAGGTCATGATCCCAGAGTCCTGGGATGGAGCCCTGCATGGGGGTGGGGGGGAAGCTCCTCTCTCGCTTGCTCGCTCTCGCTCTACCTCAAGTAAATAAAATCTTAAAAACAAATTAAAAAATAAAGATTTTATTTGAGAGCGAGAGCACGCGCACACAAAAGCAGGGAGGGATAGAGGAAGAAGCAGATGCGGGCTCACGACTGAGCAGGGAGCCCGCCCCATGGGGGCTAGGATCCCAGGATCCTGAGATCATGACCTGAGCTGAAGGGAGACCCTTAACCAACCTAGCCACCCAGGTGCCCCCAGAAATCTAATTTTTTAATAAGTATACCAGTGACTCTAGTAGAGCTAAAATTTGAAAACCACTGACTAAATCTAAAAGGGAAGAGCATAACTGCAACATGGTTGTGGCCTCAACAAAACTTGTTTTGTTTGGCCTATAGAATGGGCCTGTGTGCATGTGTATTTTTTTATTTACTTGCCAATATCTAATACAAAGAAAGCTCTCACAAAAATCCGGGCTTCAGACTTCTCATTATATATATATATATATATATATATATTTTATATATATTTATATATAATATATCTGAATTGTATATTATATATACACACACACACACACACACATATATATATCCTTAAATACTGGCCCTCCCCTCTCTTGCATGACAACCTGCTGGAGCTGAGTTTACTTCCTCTCCCATTCCCTCCCTCTCCCTTCCCTATTATTTTACTCCCAAGTTCATAGTTCTCTAAATCAGATATCTAGCTTAGCTCCTGTAGGTATTATAGTTTAACCCATGATGACTGTACCCACAAGTTCATTAGGAGAATGCAGATGATCAAATGAACCCTATATATTTATGAAATGTACTGGATCAAGTTTTACTTCAGCTAGTATTAAAATAAGTTTGCAAGGAGAGAGGAAGGGAGAATATATCCAAGTCAATAAGACTCAGGATAGACAGTATTTTTAATTTATTGAAAATAACCCTCTTTTTTTGTACTGTATTTAAAGTATAATTTATTAGAGACTTTGTCTTAGTATAAAAACAAAAAACATGACCTTCCAATTTAAATGCTTCCTTGGAACTCTTGCTGATAATACAAACACCAAGATAAAATACATTGAGAGACTAGAATTGCACAGAACATTTTGAGAAATCTGAAATTGAAAACTTGTCTCAGAGTCTAGTTTCAGAGCTTTTATTACCCATGTTCTCATTCATTCAGGTCTAAATGTCATGGCCAGGCACACGATAAATCTTAATTCTAGGATTATGCAAAATTCAGATCCTAATCGGCCACTAGCCCGCTTAACCAATTAAAACATAAATAAAAGAAACCTTAAAATGTGTCTAAAAATTAAGAACTAAAATTTAAGTTTCACCTGTACTAAATTTCCAACAGGTGGGCCACATCAGAGAAAACAGTGTAAAAGATCTGAGACTTCAGCCTACTTGCAAGCTAGCTTACCATGGTAGGAGATACAAAGACTCAGGGATGAGAGACAAGGGGCAGTTTATTAGTTACAATAACATAAGCCAAAGCATCATTTTTGCACTGGTTCCCAGAACCCCAGTTCCCACCAGGCACGGTGAAAAGGGCCTGCTGACACTTGCACAGGCAGTGGGTTGTGTTACACAAGAGGAAACCTAAGCTTAGAGAACCCCAGTCTTTTGTCATGGGCAGTAAGCATGCCTGCCTTTTACTCCAGTAGAGACATTATACTGGACCATATGCATGCCTGCTCTTTGCTCTGATGGAAGACACTATCTCTATCTTCCAAGGCTGATCTTTATACAAACATCTTTTAAAAATAGAAACAAAGGGCAGTCAGTACCTCCCTGGCAAGACCTGCAGAAACTTAAGAGACCCATGGAAAATTGGCTCCCTCAACTAGATACTGTTTGTAACATATAATCAAATGAAGAGTCTAACACTACTATTTATAGCATCAATTTCATATACCTTTTGACCTAGCCTCAATTATTTAATTAGCATTTTATCTCAAATCAACTAGACCCTCTAAAAGGAAGTATATATTAAAAATTAATTACCCCCCTTTTCCCAGTTACTTTCTATTTTTAAAAATGATGTGCTCCAATATTTGCACTATTACAATTTAAAATCCTCAAGCATTCTACTAGAATTACTGCGCTTACTTTAACTAACTTTAAATGTTTCAAACCTGTTCACGTTAGCAATGGGAACTACCTGTCAAAAGTATCATTATACAGTAATACCACAAAGAGAACAGTAACTTCAACATTTCCAGCTGTCATTCACAAAATGCAAGAGAAGCCTGCACCCCAAATCACTTTGTTCTATTTCTCTTTACCCTTTACCGTTTCAAAATAAAATCTTCGAAGGAGAAAAGACAACAAAATACCGTCTCTTTTGGTTCCTTTGTCCCTAGCAGAAGGGAGAAAAATCGGGGACTCGTTAAGGTAAAGAACCCGAAACATGCAAGCCAGAAAATAGACGGCATCTGAGCTTGTAATCAATCACCAAAGAAAGTCACCATCACTTCATCTTCATCCCTCCCTTCCCCCCTCCAGCTCAAATAACGTGGTTATACACGAGATGATTAGGATCATATGGACCCGGACAAAGCTTTGGGGAGGCAGAGGGTAGCGGTTAACTAGACGCAGTCGGCCAAGAATCCGAGATACACACTACAGCCCGCTCCAAAAGAGGTTTTCAAAAGTGCGGGTCGCACGGGCCACCCAACCCCGGAGGAGAATGCTGAGCAGCAGGAGGAGCAGCAGCGGCGCCGCCAAGTCCTCAGCGCCCGTGGAAGTTGCTCGCGGGGCGCGCGGCACGCAGCAGAGCGCGCGGGCCCTCCATGTCACTGCCGCCGACACAGACCCTCCTCCTCGCCCCTCCCCCGCCGCGCACCCCGGGCGGCGGCGACATGACAGCGGGTCGCGCCGCACAAGGGCGCTCGCCTCCCCGAGCCCCTCCCCGGGTTCCCCAGCGCCCACGGCTGGCTCTCACCTTGGGTGGCGAACGGCGAGGAGCCGCTGACCGGCGAGCCGGGGGCGGGGACGGGCGGCGGGGTCTCCGCCGAACCCAGCATGGGCGCAGGCAGCATGAGGTAGCGCTGGGGCGCGGGTAGGCAGCGCTGGCAGAAGGAGTGCAGGCAGGGCAGCAGCTTGGGCGCCCGGCTCTGGATGTTCTGGTGGCACACGGCGCAAGTGTCCAACAGGTTGAGCCGGGCCGCCTCGCCTCCGCGCTCCGAGTCGGGGCCCTGCCGACTCTCAGCCTCGTTCTCTCCGCTTGGCGCCGCCGAGGGCCCCCCGGCGGCCGCCGCCGAAGCCGCCGCGGCCGCCGTCGCCGCCTTCTCCACAGCCACCTCCATTGTCCTGCCCCCGCCGCCGCCGCCTCCGGGAAAGGGGGAGCGCGATCTCCGCCTGCCGCCGCCCCCGACGACCTCCTCCTCCTCCTCCTCTTCACAGGCCGCTTGGGTGACCCGCGGGAGAGGGAGGGAGTGAGGGCGGGCCGGGCCGAGGAAGCCTCCTCAGGCCCCGGGGATCCGCCTCCCGGGTGGCGCGGCCGGAAGAAGGGGATCTGTCAGCGGGAACCGTTCCTCGCACCGGGAAGGCTGCGCCCCGTCCGCTTCGCCAACCGCCGCGGCGCTCGTCGAATCCGCCCAGCCCGCCCTCGTCTCCCCGCCTTTCTCCCTGGGCCCCCGGCCCACCTCAGGCCCCGCCCCCACCCTCCCTCTCCCAGCAACTGAGGCGACGGCAAGTAACGCGCCGCCCAATAGCCGCAGCGCCTGGCCAGAGGGCGGGGCCTGCCCAAGCCCGCGAGGCTCCGACGGCCGCGGCGGGAGGTGGGAAGGCGCTTGCCCAGCCCCGCCCCCCACCGAACGCCTAGAGCCGCGGCTTCTGATTGGGCCTTTGTGTGTGTTTCGCTCCTCTGAAAAGATTAAGGGATTATTTGTTAATGACAGACCGACTAATTCGGTCCGCCTGTGTTAGCTCCTCCTATGGGGCGGAGCTCCACCGTGTGGGCTCAAAGCGGTTAATTAAGTAACTGCTTCGAAAACTCTCGTTTTACTGCTGAAGGCAGGGGTCCTGTAGGAAGAGTAAATATGGTGGGAGGGTCAAAGGATGACGAAGTAGAGACTGTGAAGAGCAAACAAGGGAAGAATTTTATAAATGGAGAAATGTTGTGTGAAAAAGATACTGGGGCAGCATGGATTTGCCACCTGAATTTACTCTTCTCCGTGATGATTGACGGAACATGAAGAATAAGGGTGGAGGTTCTCTTGCAAAGTCGGAAATTTTTAAAGGATTTCCCCAGTGAAAAAGGTGATTAATTTTTAAAGTCAGTGAGTTGCTTTTCAAATAAATAAACATGTTTTTTTCTTCAAGAAACAAATATATAAAGATTGTTTGAAAATGTCTTTATTGCATAAATACATCAATTGGAGAAATAAAAATAAATCTCAGTACTGATGTCCAAGTAATTCCTTCAAAAATTTTTTCATCCTGTCTCCCAAAACACACAGACTTATATCAGAAGGTACACACATTTTTCACTCAAAAAATGGCCAAACTTTGGGGTGCCAAGTGGGCTCAGTCAGTAGAACATGTGACTCTTGATCTTGGGGTTGTGAGCTCAAGCCCCATATTGAGCATGGAGACTACTTAAAAAAAAAAAGCCAAATTTTAAGTAGCTTGAAGTATAGAAACGGGGTGGGGGAAACAAAACTTTTGTACACACATGTAAAAAAATTGTATGGAAGTGCCATTTTTAAGTACAAATGAAGTGGTGCTGGAACACTGAGGAAAGAGGGATGGGGTCAGAAAAGGCCTTGTTAAAGTTGGAATGATACTGGAAGAAAAAATGGCCTGAGGGAGGGCAAACTCTAGGTAACCTGACCCTCCTTACCTTTTCCAAATTATTCCTCTCCTACTGGCCTCTTTCCCAAAACAGGTCCTAAATCCAATCACTGTAGGCCTCCAGGAGTGAAGTTCTCCTTCTTAAGGGCAGTCAAGGGCTAGCTATTTGTTTTGTATAGTGGTAGTTTCTTAAACCTTAGTTTGCATAAGAATCACCTGGCAAGCTTACTTAAAAGCAGGTTCTTGGGCTCATCCCCCTATTCAATTTTAGAAGCATCTGGTGATTGTGATCTGAGTGGTCTAGGACCACCCTTAGAAAAACAGGGGCTATCTCGAATTTCTTAACCCACTTACCATCCCTCTATGAGTTCATCCCTCTCTCAACCTATACCCCTCAAGCTGAAGCTCCCTCTACTCTCATACTTTATGCACCAGCAAATTTAATGCATCCCTGCTTTGCCCATGCTGTTCCCTTTATTTTGGAATGCTTTTCCCTCACAATTGAGATTTACCAATTGTCTCCCTAAACCACTCCACATGAAGTTCATCACTCTTTCCCCAATACTCATTCTGTGCCCCATCTTTTTGTAGCTGCACCTTGCAAATCTTTATATCCTAGTAAAGCAAATTCTGCATTATAAATTAATGATTTAATATGCTAATAATTCATTACAGAAATGGTATACAGGATTCAAGCAGACCAAAGACAAAGGGACACTAAAAGACAAAGTATCTTTTATTCCCTTTGATGATGGTGGTGGAGAAGGAAAAAATAAGGGGTAAATTGTGGAAGCTTGTTTTTGGAGAATTCCATGCAGTTTGATAACAACCCACTAGTTTGGTTTCTCACATCATCATGGATAATCAGTTTTAGGGAAAATTATCTTCCATATTCTTAGGCTTCTAGTCTCATGTAGTTAAAACGATCATGTGTTTTACTTTGTTCAAATATATATGGCTTCTGATCCTTTTAATTCCAGAAAAGGAATTTATTGTTTTAAGTGTTTTTATCATTTGATTTTCTTATCTAGATACTGTCTTCCCAAGTGCATTGCAAAAATATTTCACAGGGATCCACACTATGATAGATGATTCTTCCTTAATTGTAGCTCTCATCTATCTCCCCCTCTTGTTCTATAATGTCTCTTGCTCCCTACTTCATCCAAGGCTTTCCACAATTTCAGCCCTATCTGATCTCCCTGCCTGCTCATACTGTTTGCCCATATCCACTCTAAGCTCCAGCCTAATTGGATGGCTTGCCATTTTCTAAACTGCACCAACACCACCTCTACCATCCCTCTGAGAGAAAGGGTAATATTTGTCTCTGCTAGAAGAGAAGGGAGAGCAAGAGCATTTGAGGCTAGTGAGGATTTTTAATGCCCACCCCTTACATGGCAGGGATGAATAGAAATTCCAGATCTTCCAGGAAAGTTTAACAAAATCATTTTTGAGTAGAATTCTTCGAGGTTACAATACATGTCTAGGCAAGGAAGGTGTGAGATAACCCCCTTAACCCAATCTTCTATAGCTATAGAGGAATAAGGAAAAGATTTCTGCACCTTCAGGAGTAGCTGAGAGGTTCGGATAACTTGCGACCTCATTGTTAGCACAAGGATGCCTTGTGCACAGACCAAAGACTGTCTCATTATTTCAGTGGTTTCCACAGAGGTGGCAGCAGTCAAGAACCAATGCAAGCAAGGCACTTTCTGTGTATGCCATCATGAACTGATGTACTAGGATCCAGTGTCTCTCCCAGATATGCCATGGCCCTGTTAAACCCTTGGGTCTTCAAATTGGCCCTAGACAGAAAGGAGAATTAATTTTTTATTGATGGATTTAAAACCCCAAATGATGACCAAAACCAAAATGGAAACAAAGCCTAAAGTAACTGAGAATATGACTAGATTAAGTTTTCTGTCGTCAGGATAAAGGGTTAACTCAGTGAGCTTGGGTTACTCAAACCCTACACATTCCAAAGAAAGAACTGGTCCTTGACGGGCTCTTGGGAGATTCCCTTTGAACCTTTATCCTACCTGATAAAGGGGTTGCTGTATGCCTGAGGCTTTGGCCTTATACTCTTATCAGTTTGATCACAGTTTATACTGACAATATGACTTATGCTCACACTGGTTTTTTATATACTTGGGGCTCTGGGCCACAGTGTGTTTGACCTCTGGAAGGCAGGAGACTGAGTAGCTAAGGTCAGTCACCTGGGTACTCCATGCCGGTGTAACTGACCCCCAGTTAAAATCTTGGATACCAAGGCTTAGTGAATTTCCCTTGCTGGCAACACTTTACCCATGTTGTTACACAAAGTTGCTAGGGAATTAAGCCTGCTTGTGAGACTCCACTGGCAGAAGACACCTGGAAGCTCCCTCCTGGTTTCTCCTGGGCTTTGCCTATGTGCCTTTTTCCTTTACTAATTTTAATCTGTATCCTTTTGCCATAATGATTGGTAACTGGGATATAGATGAATCTATTTTTCTGAATCTTATGAATCCTTCTAGCAAGTCATTGAAACTGAGGGTGGTCTTGGGGACAGCCAACACAAAGGGCATGTCCTTTCCCCTACTAGACTGTAATTCCTTGGGCTAAGAACCATCTCTCCTCTTTTGTATTCCTTTAATATCTCACAAATCGCATGGAAGCAAAAAAAATCTAGAGCTTGGGTCCTCCTGCTTTCTTCCTTTCACCCTTTGCTTCATTCCAAGTATTTGCCTCAATTATAGCTCCTTTGCTCAATGGTTTTGTTTGCTTGTTTGTTTTTTGCTTCTTGTGAGCCATTTGCTGAAGAGGAAGGTCCAGGAGAGATAATTGCAGTGATTTCCCTTTTCCCTAATTACCTCCCCTCTGTAGTCATTTTTTCTTCTGGGTAAACATTGGTTTTAGAACATGAAGTGTGAGGAAAAGAAGTCACCAAAGGGCTGGGGAGTGATCAGAGAAGGGGCATATTTATTCCCTTGTCTGAAGGACAAGAGTAATGAAGTGACCTGTAAACTGAATATTGACTCATGAGGCTTTATGGACAGATATGTTACAGACAGTTGGAGAAGTCAACTTACGTGGTGGGAGGAATACCTCTGCAGAACATTCTGAGAATATCTAAGGGCAGAGAGAAGCCCCACATTTTAATATTCTGCCAGTTCTGTGGAAGCACTTTTATTGGATTTTATTATGAGATTAGGAATTGCAGAGGGGAAAAAGAAGAAAGAAGCAATGGAAAACTCATAGATCAAGCGCAAGTCAATCAGATGACCAAGAAAAAAAAAGAGGCTGAGAACAAGGAAGATAATAAGGGAACAAATGAAAGAAAACAAATGGAATGAAAGGAAAAAGGAATAACACTTGCAGATAACAAGAGAAGAAAAAGTGGAGTAGCTAGCAGCTGGAAGGAGAATGAGGAGATTCATGACCCTCTGTGGGGAAGGGGCAAATAGGTGAGAAATGAGTGGGTGGACCAAAGGGGGGGTTTGAAAGAACTCTGAAAATGATGACATAGTTTATTCCAAGAAATAACTTATAAAAAATTTATCCTAGCACAACCCAACATAAAACACAACCAGAGGGGTGCATGCAACAAGGAAAGGCCATGTGAAGACCTAGCAAGATGGCCATCTGCAAGCCAGGAAGAGAGCTCTCATCAGAAACTGAATTGGCTAGAACCTTGATCTTAGACTTCCTAGCCTCCTGAACTGTGAGAAGTAAATTTCTGTTATTTAAATCGATTTCTCCAGTCTGTAGTATTTTATTATAGCAGCTCAAGAAGTCTTAAAAATCCAACAATGCAGGTAGACATCTATAGATTTATGAAATCACTTTTAATGATTGCTTATGATTCCATTATAACAAAATT